CCCACAGCACATCCTCCCACTCACCCGCCCACAGCACATCCTCCCACTCACCCGCCCACAGCACATCCTCCCACTCACCCGCCCACAGCACATCCTCCCACTCACCCGCCCACAGCACATCCTCCCACTCACCCGCCCACATCACATCCTCCCACTCACCCGCCCACAGCACATCCTCCCACTCACCCGCCCACATCACATCCTCCCACTCACCCGCCCACATCACATCCTCCCACTCACCCGCCCACATCACATCCTCCCACTCACCCGCCCACATCACATCCTCCCACTCACCCGCCCACATCACATCCTCCCACTCACCCGCCCACAGCACATCCTCCCACTCACCCGCCCACATCACATCCTCCCACTCACCCGCCCACAGCACATCCTCCCACTCACCCGCCCACAGCACATCCTCCCACTCACCCGCCCACAGCACATCCTCCCACTCACCCGCCCACAGCACATCCTCCCACTCACCCGCCCACAGCACATCCTCCCACTCACCCGCCCACAGCACATCCTCCCACTCACCCGCCCACAGCACATCCTCCCACTCACCCGCCCACAGCACATCCTCCCACTCACCCGCCCACATCACATCCTCCCACTCACCCGCCCACAGCACATCCTCCCACTCACCCGCCCACATCACATCCTCCCACTCACCCGCCCACATCACATCCTCCCACTCACCCGCCCACATCACATCCTCCCACTCACCCGCCCACATCACATCCTCCCACTCACCCGCCCACATCACATCCTCCCACTCACCCGCCCACATCACATCCTCCCACTCACCCGCCCACATCACATCCTCCCACTCACCCGCCCACAGCACATCCTCCCACTCACCCGCCCACATCACATCCTCCCACTCACCCGCCCACAGCACATCCTCCCACTCACCCGCCCACATCACATCCTCCCACTCACCCGCCCACAGCACATCCTCCCACTCACCCGCCCACATCACATCCTCCCACTCACCCGCCCACAGCACATCCTCCCACTCACCCGCCCACATCACATCCTCCCACTCACCCGCCCACAGCACATCCTCCCACTCACCCGCCCACATCACATCCTCCCACTCACCCGCCCACAGCACATCCTCCCACTCACCCGCCCACAGCACATCCTCCCACTCACCCGCCCACAGCACATCCTCCCACTCACCCGCCCACAGCACATCCTCCCACTCACCCGCCCACAGCACATCCTCCCACTCACCCGCCCACATCACATCCTCCCACTCACCCGCCCACAGCACATCCTCCCACTCACCCGCCCACATCACATCCTCCCACTCACCCGCCCACATCACATCCTCCCACTCACCCGCCCACATCACATCCTCCCACTCACCCGCCCACATCACATCCTCCCACTCACCCGCCCACATCACATCCTCCCACTCACCCGCCCACATCACATCCTCCCACTCACCCGCCCACATCACATCCTCCCACTCACCCGCCCACATCACATCCTCCCACTCACCCGCCCACATCACATCCTCCCACTCACCCGCCCACATCACATCCTCCCACTCACCCGCCCACATCACATCCTCCCACTCACCCGCCCACATCACATCCTCCCACTCACCCGCCCACATCACATCCTCCCACTCACCCGCCCACATCACATCCTCCCACTCACCCGCCCACATCACATCCTCCCACTCACCCGCCCACATCACATCCTCCCACTCACCCGCCCACATCACATCCTCCCACTCACCCGCCCACATCACATCCTCCCACTCACCCGCCCACAGCACATCCTCCCACTCACCCGCCCACATCACATCCTCCCACTCACCCGCCCACAGCACATCCTCCCACTCACCCGCCCACAGCACATCCTCCCACTCACCCGCCCACAGCACATCCTCCCACTCACCCGCCCACAGCACATCCTCCCACTCACCCGCCCACAGCACATCCTCCCACTCACCCGCCCACAGCACATCCTCCCACTCACCCGCCCACAGCACATCCTCCCACTCACCCGCCCACATCACATCCTCCCACTCACCCGCCCACAGCACATCCTCCCACTCACCCGCCCACATCACATCCTCCCACTCACCCGCCCACATCACATCCTCCCACTCACCCGCCCACAGCACATCCTCCCACTCACCCGCCCACATCACATCCTCCCACTCACCCGCCCACATCACATCCTCCCACTCACCCGCCCACATCACATCCTCCCACTCACCCGCCCACATCACATCCTCCCACTCACCCGCCCACATCACACCCTCCCACTCACCCGCCCACATCACATCCTCCCACTCACCCGCCCACATCACATCCTCCCACTCACCCGCCCACATCACATCCTCCCACTCACCCGCCCACATCACATCCTCCCACTCACCCGCCCACAGCACATCCTCCCACTCACCCGCCCACAGCACATCCTCCCACTCACCCGCCCACATCACATCCTCCCACTCACCCGCCCACAGCACATCCTCCCACTCACCCGCCCACAGCACATCCTCCCACTCACCCGCCCACAGCACATCCTCCCACTCACCCGCCCACAGCACATCCTCCCACTCACCCGCCCACAGCACATCCTCCCACTCACCCGCCCACAGCACATCCTCCCACTCACCCGCCCACAGCACATCCTCCCACTCACCCGCCCACATCACATCCTCCCACTCACCCGCCCACATCACATCCTCCCACTCACCCGCCCACATCACATCCTCCCACTCACCCGCCCACATCACATCCTCCCACTCACCCGCCCACATCACATCCTCCCACTCACCCGCCCACATCACATCCTCCCACTCACCCGCCCACATCACATCCTCCCACTCACCCGCCCACATCACATCCTCCCACTCACCCGCCCACATCACATCCTCCCACTCACCCGCCCATACTCCCCCGTGCTCTCATAGAACACCCCCTCGCCGCTGCCCCTCCCCCCACTCGCTTCATGGTCCATGTATGCTCCCATGCTCCCATGCTCCCATGCTCCCATGCTCCCATGCTCCCATGCTCCCGTGCTCCCATGCTCCCGTGCTCCCATGCTCCCATGCTCCCATGCTCCCATACTCCCATGCTCCCGTGCTCCCATGCTCCCTTGCCCCCTCGCATTCCTGAACACTTGAACCCACCCACATATTCAACCCACTTGTTCACTCACTCAAGGCTCCATCCATCATTCCCCCCCTCTGAACTCACTCTTTTCTGCATGGCCACTTGCAATTTCAACTCCTTCACCCGCCTACTTCCTCACTCCCTCCTCCCCCCCTCACTCTCACACTGTTCTTCCTACTATCATCGCAGGTCCCACCACCAGCACTGCTGCCTCGTCCCCCCCCATCCCCTTCTCCTACACCACAGTCTTCCCTGTGCCCGGGACCTTCGTCTACGAGTGTTCACGCGTGGGGGAGCCTACGCGAGGCTCTGTCACCGTTCTCCCCCTCTCTTCCTCCTCCTCTGCCTCTTCGCCGTCCTCCCCCTCCTCACCCTCCTCTGCCTCCCGTTCCCGCGCCGCCGTTGGTCAATCCAGCAAGCCAATAGAATGCGCGCCAGGCTGCCTCCTCTCCTCGCTAGCAGACGGAAAATGCAACCCACCTTGCAACGTCGACGCGTGTGCCTTTGACGGCGGGGACTGCTCATGCGCCCTGCCGGCCACGTCCGTTCCCGAGCCTGCATCCGTAGCTTCAGGCTCGGTCCCAGGCTCGGGGTTAGGTCTGGTGGGATTCGTGGCCCGGCCGCAGTACTGTCCCTGTCCTCCGGGACAGGTTCGGTCAGTCGAAGGAGGTGAGTGATAGGGTGTTGGGCGGTGATGGGCGGTTGGGTAAGATGGGCGGTGGGGGGAAGATGGGCGGTGGGTGGTGACAGTTTGGTGGGGAGTTTTGAGGCACCTCACAAGTGGTCTGCTCTGCCCGCAGTACTGCCCCTGTCTTCACGGACAGGTTCGGTCGGACAAAGGAGGTGAGTGATACGGCGGCTGGTGGTGATGGGCAGTGGGAGGGGATGGGTGGGTGGTGGGGAAAGATGGGAAGATGGTCAAAATTGAGAAGTATTGAGGTGAGGCGTCTCGAGAATAGGGAGCAGGAGCAGCCAGTGACTTGGTCGTCTCACAGGTCCGTCCCAACCCCCTCATTCCGATGCCCGCTTTCCGCCACCAACTTTTGCACCCTTTTTCCGCACCAGGCCCATTCCTCACCCTCCGTCCACCTCCCCCCCTCTCCCTCGCCACTTTCCTTGATTGCCTGGCCCCCCTCCATCCAGCATGCTGCATGACGTCAGCCATAGGGGATGGCCTCACCTTCCCCTTCACCCTCGACATGTTCTCAAATGCCACGTCAGCAGCCACGTCTGCTGCTGGCAACGCCACGTCAGCAGCTGCTCCTGGTGCCGCGGCAGCGGGCAATGCGTCGTCAGCGAACAGCACTGAGGAGGTGGCACTGTCTCGCTTCGTGGCGGAACAAAACAGGTGGGGAGGCAGGGGGAGAGGAGGAGGGGAGAGGGGGAGGGGAGACAGGGTAGGGTAAGGGGTTGTGCGACAGAACAAGTGGGTGGTGGCTTTGTGGGGTGGGAAGGAGGGGGGCTAAGCAGAGCAATTGGGGGGTTGGGAGGGGAAACACAACGGAGTAGGTGGGCAGGGGCGCAACTGGGCAGGGGAACACAGGTGCGCAGCAGGAGAGCACGTGGGCGGGAGGTGATACTTAGAGGCTGGAGTGGTGGTTTTGCATTGTTTTCTATCCAATAACTGAAGTTGAGTCTGCATGCGTGGCACATGGATTTGGGATGGTGCATGGGCATGTGTCATGGCACGTGGTGCATGGTGGATGGTGCTTGGTGCATGGTGGATGGTGCTTGGTGCATGGTGGATGGTGCTTGGTGCATGGTGGATGGTGCTTGGTGCATGGTGGATGGTGCTTGGTGCATGGTGGATGGTGCTTGGTGCATGGTGGATGGTGCTTGGTGCATGGTGGATGGTGCATGGTGGATGGTGCTTGGTGCATGGTGGATGGTGCGTGGTGCATGGTGGATGGTGCGTGGTGCATGGTGGATGGTGCTTGGTGCATGGTGGATGGTGCTTGGTGTATGGTAAATGGTGCTTGGTGCATGGTGGATGGTGCTTGGTGCATGGTGGATGGTGCTTGGTGCATGGTGGATGGTGCTTGGTGCATGGTGGATGGTGCTTGGTGCATGGTGGATGGTGCTTGGTGCATGGTGGATGGTGCTTGGTGCATGGTGGATGGTGCTTGGTGCATGGTGGATGGTGCTTGGTGCATGGTGGATGGTGCTTGGTGCATGGTGGATGGTGCTTGGTGCATGGTGGATGGTGCTTGGTGCATGGCATGACAGGGTGCTGATAGGACTGAAGATTGAGCAGACTCGGTGGGACTCCGTAACCTGCCAACCATACAGGTGAGCATCCAGGTCAGCATGTCAACCAGACAGGTCAGCATGTCAACCATACAGGTTAGCATGTGTCAACCATACAGTCAGCATGTGTCGACCATACAGGTCAGCATGTGTCAACCATACAGGTCAGCATGTCAACCATACAAGTCAGCATGTGTCAACCATACATGTCAGCCTCACCTATCCTTGACATCGTCCTGCCCTCCCTCCTCCCTCCCCTTGCTTCCTCTTCTCGCCATCCATCCATTAATCCCTAAACCCTCACGACCATGTTATCACTTCAGAACGTCTCAAGCCTCCATCCTCTGCTTCCCTCGCTTCCCCTTTCGCAATCTGAGATGTGTCGTTCCGCCTTCTCTTTCCTCCCCACCATCCAGATTCTCCTCCCTCTTTCTGCACCATATGAACGGCATATCCACCTGCTATGTAAAGAACCTCTCCCTCTCAGCATTCCCAACCCCCTCCACCCTTCCCCCAACCCCTATTTTCACCACCCAGGTTCTCCTCCCTCTTCCAGAACTGCATGAACGGCATATCCACCGCCCCCTTTGGCGTCAACCCGCACTTCCTGCCCTCCTCCTCGCTTTACTTCCCTGACGCCTACGTGGCGCTCAACGACTCGCTGGCCAGCGCTGACGTGGACACCATGCAGCCAATCGCGACGCGGCCTGACGGCGTGCCCTATGGCTTCCAAGTCGCCAAGGTGAGTGCGTCCTCTCGCCAGCCTCTTTTTTCCAGGCTGGCAAGAGCGTGTTCTTGGCACCAAGCAAGCAAGCAAGGTGTCTGCTGATCTTTGACATCAGTTACACCCACCAACGTGAGAGGCATGTGCAACGAGAATCCCTCCCCTCCCACCTCCCTTTTGAATCGTTGCCAGCTGATCCGCAAGATGTTCCCCGGTGATAGTTGACATAAACCTAGACAACGAGGCTGCCGCACACACTGTATGCTGACATCAACCCTTGCTTGTATCCCCCTTCCCCTCCACTCCCTCCCCTCCCTCCCGCCCACCAGGCGAACGAGAAGGTGTTTCCGGGGATATTCCACATCAACCTCGACAACGAGGCCGCCATGCGGCAACGACTAGGGCTCCCATCCCCCATCCCCCTTCCCCACCCCCTTTTCCCCCCATCCCACTGCTGCCAGGCGAACGAGAAGGTGTTCCCGGTGATATTTGACATCAACCTCGACAACGAGGCCGCCACGCAGCGCCTGCAGTATCTGGCAGACAGCTTCTTTATCGACAACGCCACGCAGTCCGTGTCCGTCGCCATGCTCACGTACAACGGTGCGTCCTGGCATGGAGTGGGTGTGTCTAGATTAGGGTGTCGTGCCATGCCCACCCCTCAGTGGCGCCTGCAGTATCTGGCAGACAGCTTCTTCATCGACAATGCCATGCAGTCCGTGTCCGTCGCCATGCTCACATACAACGGTGCGTCATGCCATGCTCAGTGGGTGGTTGTGGTTAGAGTGCCGTGCCATGCGCACACCCACAACGGTACCATGTTCAGCGCACCACAGCACAGGGGCACCTGCAGAATCGACAATGCTACGCAGTCCGTGTCCGTTGCCATGCTCACTTACAATGGTGCGTGCGTGTTTTAGGGTGACGTGCCATGCTCACACTGTATTGATGGCATGGCACGCGATTCTGCTTCTCTTTGTGCCCTGCTTTTGCTTCCCCTTAGAAGATCATTTTGATCGGCTCATGTGTTTCCTTCCCTGGCACAACACCTCTTGCATCGACTTATAAGTTCTTCCTTCGCTTGTAATGCCCCCTGTCACATCCTCCACCCACCTACCATAGGCGACTCCAGTCTGTTTGTGTACACCACCGTGAAACTCAACTTTGAGGTCAGTCAGTCAGTCGTAACTCAGACGCAACGCAAGCTGCTTGTTTTGAGAAAAAAACGCAGAGTCTGCTAAAAAATCACTCCCACAACCGCAGGCGACTCCAGTCTGTTTGTGTACACCACCGTGATACTCAACTTTGAGGTCAGTACACAGCTGCGCCGCACTTGTCCCATGTACAGTCAGCCCCATGTACAGCAGTCCCATGTACAGTCAGCTCCATGTACAGTCAGCCCCTTGTTGCACCATCCCGCACTGTTATGAACGGGGTCAGGTCCGGGGTGTGCTGTGCGGCCCACTTTTACACAACAATGCCACCAAACGTTGAAGTTCTTAGAGAGTCGCGAGTTGACTTTCGAGTCGACTCAAAAGCTGCGGGTACCACTCCACACCCTCAAACTGCATTGTTCTAAGCATTGAAGCTCGTACGCACTTTGAGGGTCTGGAGTGGTTTCGTAGAGGGCTGCGGAATGTAGTGCTCAAAACAGAAATCCACTCTCTCCTACCTACATGCCGGTCGAATTGACACCTGGAACTCACCCCCCCCCCCCTTCTCCACAGATCGGGGGCAAGTTCTCAGTGACATACACCGTGGACCAGTAGACTTGGAAGGTTCTACTCCTCCCTCTTGCGTCCTGAGGTGACTGCTGAGTCAACCTGCAATCATTCTCTCTCTCCCTGCCTGCCTGCAGATCGGCGGCAAGATAGCGGTGACGTGCAATGTGGACCCGGTAGACGTGGAGCTCTACTCTTCCAGTGCCGACCGGCGACTGGGTGCACTTGAGGCGCCTTAAACAAACACTCACCCACCCTCTCCCCATCAGATCGGCGGCAAGATAGCGGTGACGTACAACGTGGACCCGGTAGACGTGGAGCTCTACTCGTCCAGCGCTGACTGGGCGCGCCTCACGGTGACGGTGCTGTATGTGTGCGCCGTGGTCTGGAACCTCATAGAGGAGCTTGTGGAGGCGTTTCAATGCTGGCTGGAGACGGGCAGGGTGAGTGGGCTGAGCGGCTTCTTTGCCGGTGTAGGTGGGGTGGAAGGACTGGGTGCGCCTGACGGTGACGGTGCGGTGGTGTGGAACCTCATAAAGGAGCTCGTGGAGGCGTTTCAGTGCTGGCTGGAGACGGGCAGGGTGAGTGAGTGAATGAGTTTAGTTAGTTTTCCCTAAGTTCCAGTGCCAGCTGGAGACGGGCAGGGTGAGTGAGTGAATGAGTTTAGTTAGTTTTCCCTAAGTTCCAGTGCCAGCTGGAGACGGGCAGGGTGAGTGAGTGAATGAGTTTAGTTAGTTTTCCCTAAGTTCCAGTGCCAGCTGGAGACGGGCAGGGTGAGTGAGTGAATGAGTTTAGTTAGTTTTCCCTAAGTTCCAGTGCCAGCTGGAGCGGGCAGGGTGAGTGAGTGAATGAGTTTAGTTAGTTTTCCCTAAGTTCCAGTGCCAGCTGGAGACGGGCAGGGTGAGTGAGTGAATGAGTTTAGTTAGTTTTCCCTAAGTTCCAGTGCCAGCTGGAGACGGGCAGGGGGTGAGTGAGTGAGCGACTGCTGGTTGCATTATCTATGCTTCTCTGCGTTGTACTCTCTGTGATTCTTTGCGCCCTCTTCCTCGCCTGCATCCCCGTGTGTTCTCGCGTCGTGCTCGTGTCGGTCGCTTGCCCACCCCTCCCTCCTCTGGCACCACCGCCTTGGTCACCCTTCCCTCCCTCGTCTCCGCGCTATGTCCAGTCAGCGTCTTGTCTTAGGCCTCCCCCGAGTCCTCCCGCCACTCCCGCCGTCCCCAGCTCCTCCGTGCGGTCCTTGTGTCCAGGGTCGGCTGCGCGCCACCCCTCACTCCTCCTCCCTTCGTCCGGCCACCGAGCCCTTTGAGACTCTCTACTTAGACGTCTGGGGCCCCGCTCCCCGTCTTGGCCCTCAGCGGGAGAGTTTCTTTCTGGTGGTCGTTGACGACTACTCTCGGTACACCACCGTGTTCCCTTTGGCGAAGAAGTCCGACGTGACTTCTACGCTGATCCGGTGGCTCCTCGCCACCGAGGGCACTCGCGGTCGTCATGTCAGTTGTCTTCACTCCGACCGTGGGGGTGAGTTTCGCTCCGGCATTCTCGCCATATTCTGTGCTGAGCAGGGCATCACCCAGTCCTTGACTCTTCCAGACTCTCCACAGCAGAATGGGGTTGCTGAGCGCCGCTTAGGCCTGGTCATGGAGATCGCCCGCACCTCCATGATCCACGCCCGCGCGCCCCATTTCATGTGGCCCTACGTGGCTCGGTACGCCGCTCACCAGCTGAACCTTTGGCCTCGCGTCTCTCGGCCAGGGGCTTCACCGACCAGTCTTTGGACAGGGTCCCCTGGTGTTGCGTCGAGGTTTAGTGTCTGGGGCTGCTTGGCTCTTGTCCGCGACACCTCTGCGGACAAGATCTCGCCTCGCGCTGTCCCCTGTGTCTTCCTTGGTTTCCCAGAGGGCTCCTCTGACTTCACCTTTTACCACCCTCCCTCCCACCGGTTCTTTGACTCTCGTGACGTCCGTTTCGACGAGTCCGTCCCCTACTACGTCCGGTACCCCTGTCGAGGTCTCCCGGTTCCCCCCCCTCCCCTCTTCCTGGCTCCAGCTTCTCCTCCTCCCGCCCCTGCTCCTGCGGTACCCTCCCCTGTCCCCGCTCCGTCTGGTGTGTCCCACGCTACTCCCCCCCCCTCGGTACCCCCCCAGGTCTCTCCTCCTTCCCCACAGTCGTCCTCACAGCCTCCGCAGCAGCCGCCGGCGCTTCCTTTACCGGCCACTGCGGACTCTGAGGGCGTTGGTGCTCGAGGTGAGGGCTCTGGGGGTGCTGGCGTTGGAGCTGTTCGTGCACCTACAAGAGCAGCCCGTTTTGGGGGTGTTGGCGTTCGCGCTGAGCGTGCACCTGCCGCAGCTGCCCGTTCTGCAGGTGCTGGAGCTGGTGGTGTTTCTGGAGCTGGAGAGTCTGGGGCTGGTGCTGGTGCCATTAGGGGCACCACGCCTGGGGGTGCGGGTGCGCCTCCTACTGGTGCTGGTCGTGCTGCCGCGGGAGGTACTCGCTCTGGGGGTGCTCAGCCGGGTACTGCTGCGGACGGAGCCGGTTCTTCTGCTGCGTCTCCTGACACCACTCCTCCTCCTCACCCCTACCCGACTCGTTACCAGACCCTTCTTCGTCTTGAGCGTGAGGAGCAGCAGCGTTTGGAGCGTGAGAGGTCGGAGGTTCAGCAGCGGGTGGAGCGTGAGAGGTTGGAGTTGCAGCGGGAGCAGCAGCAGTAGCAGCAACAGCAGCAGCAGCCGTAGCAGCAGCACCAGCAGCAGCAGCAGCAGCGGCCGCAGCAGCCGGAGCAGCCTCCGACCCCTGTTTCTGGCCTTCGGGCCCTTGGTCTCCCCTCCTCTCCTCCCGTGTTCGGTCCTACGTTTCCTCCTTGTCCTCCTCAGTCTGTTCTTCCTCATCCTCCTGAGTCGTCCCTCACTGCCTCCCTGTCCACTCCGGTCTCTGACTACTACCGCACGTACCGCCCCACTCTCTCTCTCATGTTCTCGCCTCTCTTGTGACAGACCCTCGTGCCTCTCCTTCCTCCGTCGCGTTCCTCACTGCTGCTGTCACTGACTTTACTGCTACGCGTCGCCTTGACTACGCCACTCGTGTTGTGGCCGCTCCTCCTGTCCGTCCTCTGTCCGCCGGGGGTGAGTCTGCCCTTGGCTGTGACGTCCTAGAGGACAGACAGTTTGAGCTAGAGTTCCTGGCAGCTGCTTTGCCTCATCTCTGTTCCATGCTCATCACTCCTAAGGGAGACCTCGACGCTCCTGACATATACCTTCTCCCCGCACTTACGTTGAGGCAGTGTCAGGGCCTTGGACCTCTCAGTGGAGAGCTGCCATGGACGCAGAGATGGCCTCCTACAGGTCCACAGGCACTTACGTTGACGAGGTTCCCCCCCCAGGGGCGAACATCGTTGACGGCATGTGGATCTTCAAGGTGAAGCGGCCGCCGGGATCTCCCCCAGTCTTCAAGGCACGCTATGTGGCTAGAGGGTTCAGTCAGCCTGAGGGAGTTGACTTCTTTCAAACCTTCGCACCCACCCCGAAGATGACCACTCTTCGGGTGTTACTGCACGTAGCAGCGCAGAGAGACTAAGAGCTACACTCTCTTGACTTCTCCACTGCCTTCCTCCAGGGCCGCCTACACGAGGAGATCTGGCTGCGTCGTCCTCCGGGCTTCACTGGCACTTTCCCGCCAGGGACCCAGTGGAGCCTCAGACGACCGGTCTACGGTCTCCGCCAGGCACCCCGTGAGTGGCACGACACTCTCCGCTCGACTCTCTCCGACCTCGGGTTTGAGCCGTCTTCCGCCGACCCGTCGCTGTTTGTTCGTTGTGGGCGCACACCTTTCTTCGTTCTTGTCTATGTTGACGACCTGGTTTTTGCCACAGCCGACACAGTTGCACTGGCGGAGGTGAAGTCCGAACTGCAGAAGAGACACACCTGCACTGACCTTGGGGAAATGCGCCGCTACCTTGGCCTGCAGATCTCCAGGGACAGAGCCGCTCGCACCATCACTCTGACTCAGTCACACATGGTGCAGCAGGTCCTTCAGCGGTTCGGGCTTCAGCACTCTTCTCCTACACCCACCCCTCTTGCTGTAGACCACAGACTCACTGGGCCTTTTCCTGACGAGCCGTTCGAGCCCAGTGGTCCCTACGCCGAGCTGGTGGGCTGCCTCATGTACCTGATGACGTGTACTCGCCCGGACCTCGCCTTCCCTCTTAGCATCCTTTCTCGCTTTGTTGCGACTGGGAGACACCGTCCTGTTCACTGGGCGGCGGCTAAGAGGGTGGCAAAGTACCTCAGCGCGACATCAGACATGGGGCTTGTACTTGGAGGGACACAGTCAGTTGTACTCACCGGTCACTGCGACTCCTCCTACCCCGACGACGTTGAGACTCAAAGGTCTACACAGGGTTACTGTTTCAGCCTGGGCTCTGCAGCTGTTTCGTGGAGGTCTACTCGGTCCTCCTCTGTTGCGACTTCTACCGCAGAGGCCGAGATCTACGCTGGAGCCCTTGCTGCACAGGAGCTACGCTGGTTGACCTTCTTGCTCACTGACCTTGGTGAGCGGCCGAGCTCTGCACCGACCTTGTTTGCTGACAACAAGGCGATGATTCTCCTGTGTCGTGAGCCTCGACTGGAGAGCAGAGTGAAGAACATCGACGTCAGGTACTTCCTCCTTCGAGAGTTGCAGCGACGCGAACAGGCTCGTCTGGACTTCGTGGCCTCCGAGGCCAACAATGCAGACATCTTCACCAAGGCTCTTCAGCCTTGTGACCACCGCCGGTTTTGTCTGTAGTTAGGTCTCGTTGAGACTGGGTCTAGTAGATTGCAGTAGTGATTTCTTGCCTCTTGTGTGTGTGTACCATATATATATTAGCTTATACACTCTTGAACTGGCATTGTGGCCCCTTGTTTGTGCTCAATCTCATTGCGTTTTAGTGTCATAGTCTCATAGTGTCCCTCTTCCTTTTTATGTAGAGTATTTTTTAGAATTCTCATAAATACTCTCCGTTGTGTCAATCTCATTGCGTCTTAGTGTCATGGTCTCATAGTGTCCCTCTGCCTTTGTACTGCGCTTTCCTCCCCATCCAACTCTCGTCCACCCAGAAATCCACGGAGGAGTCACCGGCATTCCCAGTGGACATGTGGTGTTGGAGTGACTTATGAGAATTCTCAAAAGCCATGCGCAACGTGCTGCTGCTGCTCTCCACTCACACGACGTCGTCCCTTGCCCGTCCTTCTGTGCCTTCCTCCCTTCCTGCCCCACTTCCCTCCACCCAGAAATCCACCGAAGAATCGCCAGCCTTCCCAGTGGACATGTGGTATGTGCTGCGCAACGTGCTGCGGCGGCTCTCAACGGACTACTGATGAGTGGAGTAGGGTTTAGTCCACTCACATGCCTCCTCGCCTGCCTGTCCCCCTGTTCCTCTCTTCCTTCCACCCAGAAATCCACGGAGGAGTCACCTGCATTCCCAGTGGACATGTGGTATGTGCTGCGCAACGTGCTGCGGCGGCTCTCAACAGTCTACTGGAAGCCGGGACGGCTGCAGCGCCACCTGCTCATGCTGGGCGCTGAGGACGTTGACGTTACGGTGAGAGCGGGATAAACTCCTCTTTCTTTGGGGGGGCTTCAAGGCGTCTCAACAGGTGTCCGAGTGGACTCACAAGGAAGGAGCACACGTGTTGCGGCGGCTTTCAATGGACTATCGGAAGCCGGGAAGGCTGCAGCGGCACCTACTCATGCTGGGCGCAGGGGACGGCTATGTCACGGTGAGGATAGGATAGAGTGTGGTGTGGTGCGGTGGTGTCTGCAATGTGGACAGTCTCTGCTATGAGTGCGCTGGGCACTCACAAGTTGCGCATATGCTTGTGTATCGGTGGATGGGTGCTGCGGACGAGTCTGTAGCGGTGACGAGTCTGTTCTGTGGGTCTTCAAGACTTCTCAGAAGGTGTTAGAGTGCACTCACTAGGCCGCTTCCTTGCATTGGGGGCTGAGGGCGACTGTACTTGGTGAGAGTTGAAGAGAGAGCAGAGTGTTGTGTTTGTTGGTGTGGGTGGTGAGATTTCTGACTGTACTGTTTTGGCCTTTTAAGGCGCCTCAAAAAGCAATTCAGTCACGGCGCTCAAAGAGGCCTTTAAGTGAGCCAGCCGCTGCTGACTCTCATCTTTTCCCTCTTCTCTTCCGTCTCAGCTGGATGATTCGGTAGTGGCCAGGCCAGGCCAGGCCAAGTGAGTAGCAGACCCCTCAAAGGACTCTTCAGGCAATTCAACTGCTGCTGCCTTTTCGCTCCTTTCCTCCCTTCCCCTCCCCCACCCTTGACTCCTCCCTCCCGCCCTCTCTCCTTCCTCTCCCTCCTTCCCAGCTGAAGAATCCGGTAGCGGCCGAGTCAGTCGCGGATCTCAAAAAAGTCAACCGCTGCTGCCTTTCATCCTTTCCCTCCTTGCCTCCTCCTCCCTGCCTTCCCCCACAGCTAGAGGATTCGGTGGTGGCCAAGTCAGTGGCGGCGCTCAAAGAGGGCTGGAATCGAGTCAGCCGCTGCTGCCGAGGCCTGGGGCGAAGCAAGCCACAACCGCGCCGGGTGCTGCGGGTGGGCAAGCGGTGCTTGAATGCCGACGCCCTGCTGGGGGTGCTGGAGCGCTGCGCTGCCAACCGCCCTCCTGGCAGTGACTCCGTGCGGGGAGGAGGCTTCAGCTTCAAGCGACAGGTGGGCTGGCTGGTTGCTCTCACTCCTTCCCACTGTCACTCTATCCTCTTCACTTCTTCTGCTGGGGGTGCTGGAGCTCTGTGCTGCCAACAGACCTCCTGGTAGTGACTCCATGCGGGGCGGAGGCTTCAGCTTCAAGCGACAGGTGGGCTGCCTGCTTACGTGCTCCCACTCCCAAAGGCACTAGCATGCAGGGTGCTGCGGGTGGGCGAGCACTGTGCTCCGTGCCCAGAGGCTTCAGCTTCAAATGCCGGGTGGGCTGGCTGGTTGAATTGAAATCACTCCGGCTGAAATGACAGGTTGGGTCGGAACAACAGGTGGGCTTGCTGATAAGGTAATCAGTAGACAACGTAACCGCACACACTTCCTCAGCTCTTCCCTCACTGCCTCCATCCTCCCTCTCCGTTTCAGACCGATCCCGACCCTACCATCGAGGTTCAGCCCATAGCTAACGTGATCCTGGCGCAGTTTGGGGAGGTTCTGGATGGGATGGCAGCCCCGGTGGCCCCACTCAGAGACCATGAGCAGCAACAGTTGGAGGAAGAGGAGGAGCATAAGAGACTCAAAGATACACTCACTAGGGTTTCTAGAGACGCTGCATTGACAGCGGAGGGACTAGAAGTGCTGAAGGGGGAGGTGCAGCTGCAGAGGAGGGCAGTGAGGAGGCTGCAGAAGCAGGTGGTACAGCAGGATATGAGAGCGATTGAGCAGGCGAGTGCGCTGCACCAGCAGCTGCTGCTGCAACAGGAACTCATTCTGCGCTTGTTGAATTCACAGAGCGACTCCGACGCTGCTTGAGACACTGTGGTGGGTTACGGTAAGTCGATTTGACAGCTTGTGAAGCAGGTAGGGGGGAGGGTGCCTCTTGATACCGTAGCTCCTTCAGCAGCAGGAGCTCAATGTGTGTCTTCTCAACTCCAAGAGCGAGTCAGATGCAGCTTTATTCAGTTTTGTCTAGGTTTATAAGTTATGTTGTGTTCAGAGAGAAGTAGCTCCTGTCCATTGAATGCATAAAGCAGCTCTGTTGTTGTATAAGATCCCCTGGCAGAAGCCTGCTGTTGTGCTTGCCAATGTGATTTGATGTGATGTGAGACGGTGCCACGTGTAACATTACCAGGACCCGTGCTCCTGCACTCGCCAGCCAAATAGGATGTCTATCAGGCTTAGGCTGATAACGTACTTCACTTCGTTGGTAGGCCCGCACCTGTCCCGCACTCTAGCTGATCCCCACAAAGCCCACCTGCTTCCACCACTCCCTCCCTGCCGGGTACCGTATTCTGTGCTATGGTCCTGCCGTTGTGTAAGCTAGAAGTTTTGTTAGGTAGATTATAGTCAAACATCAAGTACAAAACAAAGAGGGCGCATTCCTGCATTTGTGTAAACCCCTTCTGCCAGGGACTGACACAAAGTCAGGAATATGCCCAGAAAAGGCAAGCAAATACCTAAGAGGGAGTATGACAGTGAGGAGGAGCCTATGGTAACACCTAAGAGGAAGAATGGCAAAGAGTAACCTATGGACTCCTAAACCTCTGCTGCTGATGCCCCGTTCACAGCGAGATGCTGGGTGTACACTGCTCGTTGTACTTCTTAGCGGAAAACGGGTCCAGCTGCATCGTGCATTCCACATGCACCATAACGCGCGGCGACGAGATGCCCCAGTATTTCACGCGCGCTGCAGTGCCAACCACCACCCGCATTTCCGCGCGCCCATGCAGCAGCGGCGTCGTCAGCAGGCTCGCGGGACTCAGCGTCGCCAGGGGCGCGTCGACAATATCGAGGGGGACAGTCAACTCCGCGCTCCCACCCTTGCTCATGCCCACGACGCCAGGAATGGTCACATTCGTAACATTCATGTCGAAGAATTTTACGTCCACGCTGATGTTTTCCGCTTCCACGTCCCAGTTGTTGGGGTTATACACAAGCGCGGTGACGTTTATTAACGCGGATAGGCCCAGGCGGAAGTTTTCGAGGCCCAGGAACCCGCCGCCGGATTTTGTGATGCCGACGCGGAGGATGTTGATTTGCTCGACCTTCACCTCCGGCTGTTGCTTCGAGACTGTCAGGTATGCGACGAGCCCTGCGACGCCTAATCCGACGATAACGACGGCGACGAAGATGAGCGACCAGCATGCGACGCGGCAGCAGCAGGTCCGGCGAAGCCGCCTCTGGCGATCCTTCTCGTCCTTGCGAAGCTTCTCTGTTTCGTCTGCAGTGCTGGTTACTTCTTTAGGGTTGGCGATGTGCAAGTCGGAAGGGTAAACCGCGGTGAACTCTCCCGGGTTCTCCTCATCGCCGCTGCCACTTGCGGAAACTGCGTTCCGCGCAAGCGGAGGCGCGCAGCAAAAGAGGGGGAACGAGTTTCTGGGTGGCGAAGAGTAAGCGGGGAGCGTGGCGTCTGGAGCTGAGAAAGTTGCTGCTCCTGATTCAATGTCTTCCATCTTGGAGCAATCGTTCTCGAGAGCCATGCCTGTAATGTCTACGGTGAGCTGAGTTCGTCAGATATGCAGTGGATTTGGGGACGGTTCAAGGTGTAGCGGATGGTGGAGTGGATGTCGTACGAAGCGGTTGGAGCGGCTTTGGGATGTCGAGTCAAGTTGTGGTGAAGAGTTGCTTCGAATTGGTCTGCTTGGAATGCCCTTGCTCTCGCGCATTTATCGTGCGATGGGGGCGACCAACGCCAAATCCGTACCTCCACATTCCTCCGTGCACATTCCCTGAACCGAGGCGCGCCCAGGGTGATCGCGGTCCGCTGTGTGCTTGAAGAAGTTGCGGAACCGAAGCTTCATTTCCCTGGGTGACCGGTAATGCGGACAAATGAGCCAGACGAACCAGACAACACGGCTCGGTGGGTCTCCAGTTCCCCTGAACCTCAGCCAGTCTAGCCTACTCGACTGTTTCATCGTTACAAACCAGACCGGCACGGTTATGAGGCAACGCGAAATAGCTAACAGCAGTAAAACATTAAAGATAAATAGCAAGCATATATCGTTCTAGTTGTTGGAGCTTTTTCAAGTCCGGTTTACCTGACATTGTTGGCAGTCAATATGATATGTTGAGATTCCACGCAGTAAAACTATGCTTTAAAATTTCTGCCCAACGACCAGAAACATTCTAGAGAATTTGTTAACTTTGACTTAACGCATGACCCTTCAAAAACTGTCTTGCTCTCCACCCCCAAACCACACATCCCATAAATTTTCCCATATAATTCTTGGCTCTATGATTTTCAAGCCTTCGTCATTTGTGATGGTTAAGTGAATCATGCAAGGTCGTGGAAGTGGCTTATGCCCTTTGTCACATGAGTCTGGTGAACATTCACAGTGATGCAAACAGTGCCTGCACAGGTAACAGCTTGTCAAATGTTATAGCCTTTAGTGGGTCATGCTATATGGGGTACAAACAGTTAGGGTTATGTACTTGTACTCCAACACAATCAATGCAACTCATTCCGCTGTAGCCACTTTCTGAGATGGTATCAGCTAGGTTCCTCGCTCCTAGGCCCTAGGTTAGTTCCCTAGCTCGCCAGACACGCCAGCGCGCTGAGTCCTAAGCCGCCAGCCAGCCAGCCAGCCAGTTGCCCCCCTAGCGCACCACGCTGCCGGTCGACCTGCAGCGCGACCCGTCCCCTAGCCACCGCGCCACCCGCCCGTAGGCCCGCGCGTCGCGCTGCCCGTAGGCCCGCCCGCAGGCCCGCGCGTCGCGCTGCCCGTAGGCCCGCCCGTAGGCCCCCCGCATCGCGCTGCCCGTAGGCCCGCCCGCAGGCCCGCGCGTCGCGCTGCCCGTAGGCCCGCCCGTAGGCCCGCACGTCGCGCCCCTCGTAGGCCCGCGAGTCGACCCGCTCGTAGGCCCGCCCGTCGACCCGCCGAGCCGCCCGTTGGCCCGCGCGTCGCGCCGTCCATAGGCCCGCCCGTCGACCCGCCGTGCCGCCCGTAGGCCCGCGCGCCGCGCCGCCTGTAGGCCCGCCCGTCGACCCGCCGAGCCGCCCATAGGCCCGCGCGCCGCGCAGCCCGTCCGTCGACCCGCCGCGCCACCCGCAAACCAGCGCGCTGCGCCTACCGTCAGGCAGCGCACTGCGCCGCCCGCCTGTCCACATGCCGTGCCACCTACCTGCCTGCATGCCTCCACGCCTGCTCACGCGTTACTGATTGTCTCCCCCTCCTGCGGCTGGCAGCCGCGCGCTCTCAGTTTCGCCCTCTATGGCGACCTCCCGAGTACTTCGTTTCGACCCTGAAGGGCGACCTATAGATTTTAGCACGTGGCTTACGCAGGCGCAGCGCCACCTTAAGAGCCAGCGGCAGGATGGCGTGCACCTGTTCGCACACGCGTCCGGCGCTCAGAAAGCCCCTCCCCAGCCTCAGCCGCTGCCCACTACTCCACCGCCTACTTCTGAGGAGGAGGCCGACTACCAGCGCCAGCTCCTCGCTCGCGACGTGTGGGAGTCTGTTACGCCGCTGCCTGCCTTGCCCTGACCGACCCTCTCCCGCCGACAGAGGCAGTCCACTTCGCTCAGGTCGAGTCTGCTGCAGATTTGTATAAGGCTATTGTTACTCGCTACTCCACTCCCTCCTCTGCTTCGCTCAGTCGCCTCCTCGTACCCTTTATCTACCCTGACCTCGCCTCCTTTGAGACTGTCTCTGACCTCGCTACCCACCTGCGCTCCCTTGATGCTCGCTTTCGCGCTGCTTGCACTGACGACCAGCTTGCCCTTGCCCCGCCCCCTATGTGGCTCACTATTCACTGGCTTGTCACTCGCCTCCCTGACCGCCTAGCCACAGCCCGCGACACGCTTCTTCTGAAGCACCCCACTGAGCTGACCATCGATCTTCTTGAGACTGCTCTCTCGAAGATTGAGAGCAACCTCCTCATTGTTGCCTCTGCCTCTTCCGCACCTCCTCCCCGTCTTTTTTAGGGGTGTGCGGTACCACAGCTTCCCACCTTCTCTGCCTCGCTTGCCACCCCCACGTCTTCTGCCTCTGAGGAGACGGCGGCTGAATCTGTCTCTGGCGGGCAGAAACATGGCAAGGCTGGTAAGAGGGGCGGGAAGGGCGGCGGGGGTACTGGAGGTGGTGCGGGAAGTGGCGGTGGCGGTGGAGCAGGTGGTGGGAGTGGTGGTGGGGGTGGCTCGGGACCTGACGGCCCTCCTTTCGACGGTGGAGTTTTCACTGGTGGTGAGGGGACCCAGCAGCAGCAGCAGTCGACTCCTCAGCAGCTGCCACCGCCTGGACAGCAGCAGCGGCAGGGACAGCAGCAGCAGCAACAGGGCCAGCAGCAGCGCCCGCCACAGCAGCAGCCTCAGCAGTGGGGCCCTCAGCAGCAGTGGGGCCCTCCGCAGCAGTGGGGTCCTCAGCAGCAGTGGAGTTCTGCGGATCCCCCGAGCACTGGGCGCAGTGGCGCCCCCTCCAGTTGGGGACCTCGCTCGGCCGGCCGCGACGTTGGTCCCTGTGATTACTGGATCCTTACGGGTCCTCGTCGGGACTCGTACTGTGGCCGCCCCGACCACTCTGCTGCACGCTGCTTCAGTCGTCTCGACGACCTATACGTCTTGCACCACAGCCCCTCCGCTCCCCCGCCGCCACGCTAGGGGACGCTTCTTGCTCGTGGTATTGCTGTTTTTGATATGACTATGGATGATGCTAGGTCATATGCCATGTATGCTGATGTTGACTATAGTGCTCATGGATCTGTGTACTTGCCTGTACCTAGCTTAGGATCTTTGCCTGTTGCTAGAGTAGGTGCTAATGTAGGATCTTGTTTAGCTACTAGTACAGGTTCTCCCTCGGCGGACGCCTCTCTCTCCT